GGACACCCAAAGGACATGAGCAGCTCCTCGGAGATGAGCAGAGGAGTGCAGAGAGCAGAGCCAACTCCTGGCTCCAGTAACTCTGCAGTAGGACGGACTGGAGATGTTCAAACAAACCCTCTTCCCTGTGCAGCAAATGTCAGTTCCTCCTAAACCAACAGGGCTTGTTGACGTCCTGCTTTGCTCAGTCTCCAGAGCTGGTAAAGGCTTCTGGGGAAGAAAGAAATCACAGATGCCCAAATGTTCCTTTTTAATGAAGAAAAAAAAGAAAGTAATGCTTCATTTCAGAATGACTTTTTATTTTGAAATCTGAAGCAATTTACTGAAAACTGAAATAAAACCCCAAAAATGAGAACTTCCGAAATCTAAATGAATCATTCTCCAATTACTAAATGGAATCAGTCCCTTTCCAAACAGCTTTCAGGAACATTTCTTATTAAAAATATAATTGGCCACTACGAGCCGGGGGAAGAAAAAAAAAGAAGTTTTGAAATATCACAAGTTCTCCCAGAAAATGAGACTGTTTTCCTCTCTGATTGCAATTAATGACCTGCCAGCCAAGGAGTCCCCAGACCAGCAAGGGCAGATTCCAGAGCAGAAGGAGGCTGGTGCCTGGGGGTGCATCCTCCCTTAAGGACAGCTTGAGTATGTTCAGTTGTTCCTCTCAGAATTAAATGGACGCTGCAAAAGGATGAAATGAGGCAGCACAGCCAAAATCTACGAGTGGCACTAACACAAAAGAGCCTGGGACAGGTCCCTTCTGCACCCAGCAAGGTCAGGGTGTTTCCTGCAATAAAATGTTGCCTGTCTCTAAATGATAAATAAAATGATGCTGCTCTTCCGCCCCAGATTTCCACTCTGTTGGCAGATGGGGGGTTAAACACAAGCAGAGACACCATTCAGGGCTGAAAACCTTCGTGGTGACCACGTGCACCTGGAGCAGTGCATGTGCATGGAGTAACAGAGTGGTTTGGGTTGGAAGGGACCTTAAAGATCATCCAGTTCCACCCCCTGCCATGGGCAGGGACACCTTCCACTAGACCAGGTTGCTCCAACCTGGCCCTGGACACTTCCAGGGATGGAACATCCACAGTTTCTCTGGACAACCCGTGCCAGTGTCTCACCACCCTCACAGAAAAGAATTTCTTCCTAATATCCAATCTAGACCTAGACAGAGCTCATTCAGCTCCTGGAGGGTTTATCCCTCCTCTGGGGGTAAAGACCCTGAGCTATTCCTACCCCTCTGCATGTGAGTAGGAAAGGAGGAAGAGGAGGGTGTAGTCTGCATATGGATGGAGGCAGAAACAACTTGCCAGGGGGGTTCTGAGGCATGATCAGATACTGGATGGCATCTTTGAATAGTGCTGCTGATCTGACTTGGGAGGAAGCTTCTGAATTCAGTCCAGGCTTGCGGAAAACTTTTCCCTGCTCTCATCCCCCTCTGCAGCCCCTGTTGGGGCCGGTGACATTGCTGCGACCTTGCAGCCAGGCACCTCGGTGCCATCTCTCAGCTCTGGTTCCTCCCCCCTGCTCCCAGCCCAGCCCAGCCCCTCGCCCTCCCCGGGAGGCCCCTGCAGCAGCCGAGCGCCACATTTTCAATTTACACCAACTAAATGATTCATCGCCGCCTAAAGAGCCCTGAGCAGAGCCCGGGAGGGGAGCGGAGCTGCGGCAGGGAGAGGGAGGGGGGGGGGACAAGATCGGGGCGAAGATACGGAGATGAAAAGCTCCGGTGACCTGCTCTGTATCGGCTCTTCTCTTCTCGGGGCAGCAGCCGATCAATCCTCCCCCCTCCCCTCTCCTGTCTGTGGGTCTGTCTGTCTCCTTCTCTCTCAGCGGACTCGAGTTTCCCGGTGTAAGGTTAGGACAGCAGAGCTGTGGAAATCGATTCCCGAGCCCTGGCACAACGCCCTCCGCGCACACAGCCCTGCTCGGCCCGGAGAGGAGGGATGGAGAGCCTTCCCCGGGCATCCCAGACCTCTCACGTGGAGGGAGCTTGGAAACGGGGGTCTGGGAAAGGCGGGTGCGTCACCCCTGAAGCAAAAATCCCAAAATAAGAGAGACGGGCGTGGGAGAAACAAACAAACAAAAAAGATAGCAGATTTCCCCTGTCTCCCAGTTCACACTGTTCCTCTTGATAGTTTATACTGGAGGGAAAAGGAACAGCACGACTTTGCCCACAGTCTGGTTCCCAGTCCTTCTCTACCACAGATCTTTACTAAAAACTTAAATAAAACCCCAAAACAAGAACTTTTGAAATCTAAATGAATCATTCTCCAATTACTAAATGGGTTCCCCCAGCCCAACTGGGTTTTTGCTGGAGGAAGGTTTATACTGGAGGATGGTTTATAGAGGAGAAAGAAGATGAGGGAACACATGACTTTGCCCACAATCTGGTTCCCAGTCCTTCTCTACCCCAAGTCTTTACTGTAAACTGAAATAAAACCCCAAAACAAGAGCTTCTGAAATCTAAATGAATCATTCTCAAATAAACAAATGGGTTCCTCCAGCCCAGCTGCCTCCTCTGTCCCTTCCACAAGCTCCCACATCAGCCTGGCTGGACAGCCATGAACTGGAAATCCCCCGGGATTCCTGACCGGGAGGGAAGAAGGAAGGGTTAACAGTCAGGAGGGGAAATGTTTCCCCATGGATTCTTGTGCAGGAGTCATTGGTGACACATTCCACTTGAGAAAAAGTCTGTTAAAGAATCTTAAGATGTTCTGATGTTCAAAAAATTCTAATTTACCCTGAATATACTGTGCAGCCAAAACTTGTTGAATGGGGTGTAATTGTCTCCTTTACTCTCAGGGCTACCTCAAAGGATGAGGAAACTGAGACCCAGAAAGCCTGAGACACCTGAGGCTGGACTGAAAACCCCTTCCAAACTAGGATTGAAAATCAGATTTCTTAACTACAGTGGCAACTAGAGCGAAGGAAAAGACTGAAGCGGGATTTGATAACATTTACCTTCAAACTGCTTCAAAAAACCCCACAGGGAATTAATCTCAGCGACCCTCCTGAAATGTACATAAATAGGAGGTATTCCTCTTTTCCAGACAAGGAAACAGAGGTTAAGTGGCCAGAGGGAGGAGGGCACAGGGATGAACCATCAGCCAGGTCCACACTGTGAGGCCAAACTTCTCCCTGAACGATCGAGTCTATAAGGTGGGATTTCTTTTTTGTTTTCACCAAGTCAATGCTGCCAATCCCACTCATCACCAGCCATTTAATTTTTAATACTCCTTCACAGTGAGCTGCTGCACACCCTGCAGTTGTCTCTGCCCCTTTTCTCTCCTTTTGGGGATTTATTGCTGGAGGTATTGATTGCTCCTTGCCACTGACCCTGGATGGAAGGAGATGAAATATCCAGCATTGCTGTGGTACAATCAATGGCCAAATTCACCCTTTCCTATGCTGCTTGTCCTCCACTGAGGGCAAAATACGTGGGGTTCTGTGGGATGGATGCACGGTAAGATGGGATGGAGACATCCTATAGAGCTGTACATCAAATGGAAATATCCTCAGGTCAGCAGGATGGGCTCATACTGACCAGGCCACAACTCAGGACTGGTTTGCCGAGGATCCCTTGGACAATTCCAGAGCATGAGTCACATTTTTGGACATGTTTTGGGATGTTTTCCCTAGATCTGATCTGAAATGAAGTAGACTGTCATGGTTTTGGGTGAGGGTCACACAAGCTGATGAGGATTAACAGAAGGTTGGAATATGGCACAGGTTTGTTCCCTTCTGCTCTAGAAAGGAGAAGGTAGCAAGAGCATCACTTCAGCTTGGATCACTGCCTCTTCCAGGAGAGTTTGCGATGCAACAGGAAGAACTCGGAGGTGAACTCAGCAGGAGAAGACAAACACACTGCAACAGCAGTGTCCATCAGAAAAACCCTCCAAGGCTGCCAAGGACACCGTGAGACTTGGAGTGACAGCCCCCTGCAGAGCCACGCTCAGCTGGAGACGTCTGGGCGGACAGGTCCAATGCACTTTGCAGCCACTGTCTCTGCTGAGAGGTTCTTGGCAGATGAGACCACCCTGCCACTCATCGCCAGGAGCTCAGCCAACCTGACACCTCCCTCTCCACGGCTCTGCCAGAGGCCTCTCTGCAGGAGCAGAGCACTGGCAGGGAAAGGCTGAAGAGAGGAAACTTCAAGATCAATAACATCGTTAAAAATCCTAAAGAAAACAAAGCCAGTGAGCTGATATCCCAGTCCTGAGGACACCTGGCTCCAGTGCTCCTTGAGAGGAGCATAAGCCAGTACGACACAATAATGAAATAGTGAAATGAGGTCCCTTCTATAAAGAAGCCCAAGAATATGGGCAGAGACACATTTTCTCCTCATCCTGTCCAGCTAAGCCAAATGAGCAGTTTGACCCCTTTGTGCTCATTTGGCCCAGTTGAGTTGGCCCACACAGGACAAACACCCAACTTCAGGGCCAACACTTTGCCACAGTGAACATGCAAACCATAAGGTCCCCTTGAAAATTAACTTGGAGTGGACCCCATGATGCTTTCAGGGGTCTGATTCCTCTCTAAGAGCAGTGGAGATCATGACAAATCCGAAAGGGGAGAGGTTCAGGTCAGCAGTAGAAAACTGGAGGTGCTGAGACAAGGGCACCCAGTCAGAGCCAAATTGCCTTAAGGAATGGAAACAGGGTAAATGTTGAAGAGCTGCTGGAGGGTTTGATTCAGGGTGGACAGGTGCCTTCCTGGTGCAGTCAGCACACCATGGATCACGTGATGGAGGAGGTCTGTCCAGTCTCTACCACCTTCTTTCCCCTTGCCTTCCAAAAAAATCCTTCCCAGTTAAACCAAGCCCTCCCCAGAAAGTCCCAGAGACCTTGCTGGAGGTGCCTGAGGGACTCCTCGGCTCACCTGGCTCAGGTGAGACATCATTTTTCATCTCTACCCTGTGTTACCACAGGCACTGAGGGCAGATGGTTGGTGGAAAAGCAGGGCTGGGCTGGTGACCAGCACCAGCAGGTACTTACGTGTTGTGAAGGACACACCATCCACAGTGAGGGTCTCCTGAGCCCAAGCACTCGCTGCAGGTCTCATACTGGCTACACGACTCCACGGGCACCCGGGTGAGCTGCAGGAGGAAAGGGGACAACCTGTCAGGCTTTTCACAGCCCATAATGACTTGATGGAGGTGCAACCCTCCCTGTCCTCTTCCCCTGGTGCCTGTCCTCCCCAGAGGGAGGCCTGGGGGATGTGGATGCAGTTTGCTCCAGAGCTCAACCTGGTGCAATCCCTGTCCAGACCATCACATCCCCTCTGGCCTTCCCCTCTTCCCCGTGGCCTTCCACCCTTCATTGCCAGAGGACCTCACTTGCACAGTTTCCCAGGGAATCAGGCAGTCTGTGGGTTCCTGGTACCTTGGGACAACTTACAAGGTGAGATCTGCAGCAAGTTCAGCTCACTGGATCTCAGTGCTCTCTCCCACTTTGGTTGGGGGTCCTGTTGCTTTCTGGCTCCCTGTGAGAGTTGAGGTCTTGTGTTGTCTTTGCCTTCCTCCAATGACCTCCTGCACCACCACTCCCCACTGCCACCACCACTCCTGGTCCCAGGAGAGCGTTAGCTCCACTCTCCATTGCCTGTGCATCTTCCCAACCATCAGTTGTCCCATTCCTGGAGAGGTTGCTCCCAGCAGGAAAAGGACAAAGCCTACCAGGCTGGCTATTTCCTTGCTGTCACCCTGCCTTTGCAGCTCAGATGTGAGCCTGAAACACCCATCTATTGCCGAAACACTGCATTTTATTATCTATTTTTCTTTCATTTTTCCTTTTTAATTAAAGTATTTCAGTGAGAGATTTCAAAGGCAGAAGGGACTGCCCAGCCTGACCTCCTGTCTCACAGACCAGTGCCTTTTGATTCCTCTTAGGTTTTGCAAACCCCTTAGATCTTTTGAAGCCAAACACACAATTTGGGCCCAATGACCTGATAGTCTCTTTTCCACTGAATAAACTTCAGAGAGCTTCTCTAATATCCAGTCAATTGCTGGTGTCTTCACCCCAGCTCCTGTCAGCAGGGAGAGTTTATTCCTTCAGATGATATAGTGTGGTATTATCCTGATGAAACACCACTGAGAACTGCCAACTCTAAACTGCAGAACAGTTACTCATGACAAATGACAAGGGGATACACCTGGATCCCGGTGACAGTTTTTCACTTGGTGCAACGTTCAGCAGAGTTTGAGCTCTGAAGTGACAGATTAAGATCCATCCTGATTCCACCTGTAAATGAACTGAGAACTGGCTTTTTTTTTTTTTTAATTTTAAATATAAATTTAAAATTCCAGCTGTGTATGGAAACCTTTTCTATTTGGACCAGAAATTGTCTTTCTCACCCCTATACACAAATCCTACGTGGTAGTTGATAGCCTGTGAACAAAAGCTGAAAATGTGGAGCTTTGACTCTGACAAGTGGCAGCAGCTTTGGAAAACTTCAGGTAGAAATATTGTGGGGTTTATTTATCATTACACCACTGCCTGTGCCAAGTCACCCACAGAAACCAACTGAAAGCTTTTAATGAAAAATGTGAGAATGTGGAGAAAAAACCCCAACCAAAACCCAGCACAAAACCTCTTTTCTCAAACTGAATCTATTGCCGTGAGCATAAGAACATAATCAGGACAGAGAGAGCAGCAAAAGTGAGAAGATCAAGAATGAGATGGAGTCATTTAAACTTCTGTAATTATGGTGGACTTGGCAGTGAGAAGTTAATGGTTGGATTAGATGATCTTAGAGGTCTCTTCCAACCTACATGATTCTATGATTCTATCAAGAAGTTTCAAAGGTGAGATGGTTTGGCCATGAATGCAGTTGTTCCAGCTTCCTTATGCTTCAGGTCAAGAAGGTATCAAAATGCTCATCAAATATAAATGTTATGCTCCAGGATTACACCCAATTAGACTTGTTGAGCCCAACAGTCTGTGTTGCATCCAACTTCCAAAAATACATAGAATTTTTTTACAAGGATATACCAAGAGTTGCAGACCTTATAATTTATTATGTCGGCCATTCCCACCTCTTTATTCCACCTAAGAAAAATATATAGTGCATTATTTTTCCTGGATCACACCTGGCTTGACCACCAGAGTACTTGAAGAAGAGTCAGATAATTTAGTTATGAAAGGCTGTCAACCTGCCATTCCCTGATCCAGATGTAATTGGTTGTGTGATCTCCCCCTTGGAATTAGAAATTTGTGGACACAATTGGGATTGGCTCTGCAGTTCCTACCCAAACCACCCTCAGTTTAACATATGCTGCTGCTTGATTTGTCCTCATTAGCTGGGGGTAGTTTTTCTCATCTCTGAGCTCGTTTTCATCTGTCTTATAGAACTGAGCCCTGATTAAGAACTTTAGATCAGAACATGCGCTTTTCAAACGTCTGATGATGTTGGGTTTGAATGTTCTGACTCAAAAGCCACTTGTGGCTATGATATATGTACAAGAGAGAAGTCCTAGAGGACTGAAATTTGCTATTTGTTTGCAAATTGCTGCAAAAAGAGTAGATAAAAAGTGGTCTCTGTAGGTTTTATTATTATTATTATTATTTAATTAGCCATCAAAGGATATCCAAGCTCCTTTCACAGTCGGGAGGAACCTACTGGGAATCCAGATCTTCATCTTTGCAGAAATGTTTTCCTTTCAGTGTATTTAGGGTAGTTTGTGGGATATGTGTTGTTCAGGAGCACACCTTGCTTGTGTTGCTGTCCCAGAGAACCACAGATGTGTGGTAAGAGCTTTCACAGCCTGTCAGTCCCACCAGAGCGTGTCCTGTGTCACTGTTTGCATTGTGACATGTTATTCCTGCTGTCTAAGACCTTTTATGAGTTCACCTCAAGCAGCTTTATTGCGAGATTAATTAAAACTGCCCCACGCTGGTAAATGTCTCGGGCTGTAAGTGTCAGACCTTCTAATTAATACAGAAAGAAACTACAAAAAACAAAGGAGCTGCAACTGAAAGGGAAGCCACCTAAGGGTCGTCTGCTGAAAAGAGAAAGAACATCAAGCAAATAAGGCACATCTGAGGTCTTATTTTCCTTTTTGGAACATAAACTCTAATTAATTCCTGCTCAGCTTTCCAAGCTGAAAGTTTTGAGAACCGACCGTGGCCCTCCAGGGAACAGTCAGCTTTTTGTGCTGCTGCTAAAATATCTGGAAAAGGAAAAGTCCACACAGCCTCCCAATTACAAAGCCTTGACATTATTCACTGCAACGAAGGGACCAGACAGTGCTGAAGGTTGAAATCTCCATGGTAAACCAGGCTGTGATTACTCCTGCCACCTCTTCTCCATCCTTGGAAAGCCTGACAGACTTTTCAAGGTCATTTCCCAACATCAGTGAGGGCCTTTCATTGAGGTGAAACTTGGATTCAATGTTTTGCAGCAAATATCACAGAACCACAGAATATCCTGAGCTGGAAGGGACCCATCAGGATCATCAAGTCCAACTTCTGTCCCTGCACAGGACAACCCCAAGAATCCCAGCATTTGCCTGAGAATGTTGTCCAAATACAAATAGGGTTTCAGCAGACAAAGGATGAACAAAAGCAAAGTGTCTTTAATTTTGGGGCACTATGAGCCAGTTTGGAGTAATTTAAATTCTGGAAGTGGTCCTGGCTTAACTGATATTTTGGCCTCACTGTGCCAGAGCAATATATGGATGTAACAGAGACACCTGTTGTTTTAAGGGCTTATATCCCATACATTAGGAAAATATATGATATTAGGAAAAGGTTCTTCCCCCAGAGGGTGGTTGGGCACTCAACAGGCTCTCCAGGGCAGTGGGCACAGCCCCAAGGCTGACAGAGCTCAAGGAGTGTTTGGACAATGCTCTCAGGGACAGAGTGGGATTGTTGGGGTGTGCTGTGCAGGGCCAGGAGTTGGATGATCCCACTGGGTCCCTTCCAACTCAGGATATTCTGTGATTCCATATGTGATGAAGCACGTTTTATCAACGGGAGCGGGAGCTGGAAGTGAGGTCTCATGCAGCTGAAGCAGGAGGTTCCTAAGTGTCTTTGAAGATGTGGGCTTGTGACCTCTAAGTTCATGCAAGAAGTTCAGGGGAGACCTGAATATTGAACACTAAGCTATTAAATATGACATATTTAGACTTTGAGTTCTTTGGGATATTGAAGGTATGAAGGTAAGGTTCCTGTAGAAGCCTGTGCACACACCTGATGGACATCTAGGAGCTGCTGTGCTTCCAAGGCTGTGTCTGTAGCAGACCAGAGGGGCAGATGATCTCTGATCATCTCCTAGGTTGGCATTTCCAGAGCAACCATCCTCCTACGATGATTTCAAAGATCATTGGAGGGTGTGAAGGACCCAGGAGCCCCACCACCAGCACCTTGTTTGAACAGGGGAGACCAAAGGGTCGGGATTTGCATCCCTCAGGCAGCTTCACCACCCAGACTGTTCCCAACTCACAGCTGGGGAGGTGAGACACTGGGACTGGTTGTCCAGGGAAGCTCTGGAAGCCCCTGGATCCCTGGAAGTGTCCAAGGATAGGTTGAAAGGGCTTGGAACAACCTGGGATAGTGGAATATGTCCCTGCCCATGGCAGAGGGTGGGACTGGATGGGCTTTAAGGTCCCTTCCCACTCAAACCTTTCTATCATTCTGTCACTCTTTCTATCCAGAGTGAGGTGAGATCCCAGAGCCAGGGGTGGACAAGGGGTAAGTGATTCCAATGTCCTTCTCAAGGGCAGCAAGAAAACAATGAGCAGGTCCAGCTGCCATTTCTGCAGCAGGATTTGAAGAGATATTTCACTTCATCAATACATCCATTCACTGGCTCCCAAAGAAATCATCCATGACTTTCTGGCTCACAAAGACATCTTAAAAAATCTGGCAAAATCCACAAACTGCTGCATAGTTCAGAGCTCACCTACTACTTCAGGAGACATCATCTCACCTCTGATCCAGCCTAACTTCCAAACTGCAGCTTCTCCAGCTCCCAGCTTCCCTTTTACCCTTCATTTCTAGTATGAATGAGTTACAGAAAGTCATTTAAAACAAAATGATTGAGTGTTTTGGATCTGATGGACAGTAACAGCTAATCCTGTTAGAAATTTGGCTCCCA